TGGGGCCGGAGACAACCTTTGTCCAAGCGACCCCTGGCTGGACATTATGGGAGCTCCTCTTGCCAACCCTTGTCCTGTCAGCCAACCTTGCTCTTCCCTGTTCTTTCTTCTGGTGAAGAGCCTGGCAGTAAGAGGCAATCTCCTCTTTGCCACCCCTGATGGCGCACAGTCTCTGCACTGTGGTCTGGAGCTTCCCTGTCCACTACTCTAGAGACTCCAATGAGGAGCAAACTTCACAAGGGGAGGTGTCATTGTACCTGATCTCATGTGCCTGCAGACGTGCCAAGCAGCCCCAACAGCGGAGAGCCAGGGGATAATACAGTCTTTAGAATTCAAAGCTATTAGAAGGTGGCAGGCAATAATGTAATCTTTTCTTTCAAGTTCTGATGCCTTCGTATTATCGCTTGTCATCTTTATCTAATTTCCTCTTTCTTTCCTTTGGAAGAAGAGATGCTTTATTAAGAACACAGATCATACTTTGCTACAAATGATACACATATGAAAAAGGCTTCATTCTAATGCACTGCTTATATCTGTCCTATTAGAGAGATCTGTCAAACCATTCCTGTCATTTTCATGTTAGCAGCATGCATCCGAGCCGAGAATGATGCCTTAACAGCTCTTATTGGGGTATCAAAATCACTCTGCTTCTTCTCGGCTGACTGAATATCACAGGAGCAGGGGACTGAATAACAGAACCTTCCCTGTTGACGTCACCAGCCTAAATGCAGCTCAGAATGATGGTACTGGACACTAACTGCTATCTAGTTGTTTCTGATTGCTTCTGCAAAGTGTGTTGGATGCTCCAATTGTCCACATCACTGGGAAGACCCCTGCTAATAACCTCAGCCAAGATACAGTTGCTATCAAACATACAGGACCAGAGTTTGAAAATACTCTTATCTGTGATGAGGAGGACCTTAGTTCTCAGGTGGTCCCGTTTATTTCAATTACCCTGATTACAGGAGAAGGTATCAGAGTCTGGTCCTCACATGGCACCTCTGGCAGGCTCATGGCGTCCAGGTGGGCAGTCTGCAGGGAAATTGGCTGGCACCATGCAGCCAGGAGGGGACCTGAAGAGTGGCCGGGCCCTGGAGAGTTCCTAGGATAAAAGGAGCACCTTAGCTGCAGCTCGGGGGAGAAAGAAAGATGGAGCACCAAGCCCCCACGGGAGTTAACTACAGGATAACGCTTCCAGAGCCCAGTCTGCAGGGCAAACCCTTTGCGGGGCCTGGGAACACACATACCCATGGCAGTAGAGCTAGGGATCCTTCCCAAGGCAGAAGCCCCTGCTGAGCCAGAAGAAGTTGCAGATGGCTGGAAACTTGTGGGGGAGGGAGCAGGTATCGGCACAGGGGCTATGACTGGTGAGGCACGCCTGATCAAGCAACCACTTGCTCACCACGATGCTGACAGTTACTCTGAGAGAAGTTGGGATGGAAGGGGGCCCATCTGAGAAGGACTTGTAGGACCCACTGAGACAGGGAACTTGTTGGGTGCACTCGTGGCTCTATGCATCATGTATGAGCGTGCCTGGAGTCAGAAATTCCTGCAAAGGCAGTGCCATCCTTGCAGGGCCCAAGTGAGTATGAGGAAATGTCTCATGAAGTAGTGCACCATGTCGCTGGGTGCCAACAGGTCTAAGGCGCCGGCCCACCCAGAGCATACCTGCACCTGGGGAAGTGTGTAGGAGCTGGGTAAAGTACATTCTGCTAAGCCTAGAGTGTGGGACTGAAGTGGTTAGAGGCAAGTAGCATCATTGTCCTGTTCACCCGCACCATCAGAGATTTTTGTGTTCAGTTATAGTTAAATTGTACATCTGTTAAGGCAGGAGAGCCTGGCCATACTCCTGCAAAGAACAGTGTGGGCAGGAGTTCTAGGGAAGCAATGACACCAGCATCCCGCTCCAGAGCTGATCAGCCCAAAGCAGACCACCTGAGTCGAAAGGGGTGAGGTGCAGGGGAGGAGGAGCCTCACAGAAGAAATACCAGCGAAGACCCCAGGGTCAAGGAAAAGAAACATTGAACAACACCTCCAGGTAACCTTAAACAAGCCCAAGTTGTGGTGGGCAAGTAGGCCCCAGGGACATGCTGGTGTGGTGCTGCAGGCAGGGGCCTGCCACAGCATTGTACCTTCATATAGTGCTTTACTTATGAAGGTAAAATCTGTGCTGTGCCACAAAGAGGCTACAATATAAAATCAATGAACGTGTCCTCTGGCTTCAAGCAAGGATGAGAAGCATTCAGGACATAGTCTTGTGTGATATTATTATTCATATTTTCTAAACACCTTGCCAGGACTTTCACAGAGGAAACTGAGGCCATGCAACTACAAATGTAAGATACCAACTAGAAATGATTAAAAGGATTTTTCTGAATAACGCACAGAATTTGAGCCACTTCTTAAATTTCAATACCAGGACTTGTATATAAAGTACCTTTCAGTTTTGCCATGAAGGATTCAAGAGGAATGTGACAGTGATATTTTATTTTTTAACAACAATGAAACCAAATGCCTTCTTCTCAGTGACATAAAGTTCCATTTGGCACCTGCGGAGAATAAGTTATTGCAGATAGCAGCATGTGATTATGGAACTGGTCAGATTATTTGTTTTTCTCAGTCTAACCTCTTCAAGAGGCCTCTTTTCCTTGAAGAACTAAGTACTTGAATCACATTAAGTAACGTCTCTTTTCCATTGTAATTCCTTAATATAAGAAAGATGTTTACTTTTTTTTGTCTTTTTTACTTATATTGTGAGACCTCACAGGCAAAGAGCTTTTTCTTAGTGTGATCTAAATACTTTGGCTCTTTAACAACAATACTTAAGGCTCAACTCTATTCTTCCTCATTTATCTACTTGTCCATCCAGTTCCTATTCTGGCACCCATTACTGCAAAATTAGATCTCTTTGCAAGAGGAGATAATGAATATCACAATAGGCCACTGGTCTCCTTTTCCTCCCTGCTTCTCCTGATGCAGATCAAACTCAGATTTTTTTTATTTCTTCTTTCTCTCTGTCTCTCTCGCTCTTCTTGCCTACAGTCATTTTTTCCTCCCTGCTCAGAAAAAGGAGTGAGATTTTTCCTTTACTTTAAAGGCTGTCTCATTTGCAGGCATTCTAATATCTTCTGGGTATCAGTTCTTCACAGGCAGCCATGACATCCAACACTTTTTTAGGCTGACAGCTTCCCTTTTAATTTTTTCCCTAAACCTTACATTTGTCCTATACGGAACCAATGTAGTAGGCAGGGATATCCTGAAAGGCTGTGGTGATTACGGGCTGCTGCTTTCTGGATTAACTGAATTTTTTTAATGCTGGAGGTCTCAAGTATGAGAGAGTTTTACTTATGTAGATAAGGGCTCAAGAGGACCTTGGCATTTACCTATGCTCTAAAGTGCAAAACTAAACTCAACCTTAACTATGAAACCCTAATAGGTGCCTCCAGAATCTGGTATTTTGTAGACATTAACTGAGGGTATGATTACACTACAAAAAATGTAGTGTATTGTTACCATTGGTGGGCATACCCAGCTAGCTTAGGTTAAAACAGCTGTAAACACATGGTAAAACTTGGGTTAACAGCTCAAGGGCTTTCCACTAAAGGAGCAGTCTACGTTGCAGTGAAATAGGTACAGCTGAGCAAGCGGTGTAGCTGTAGCAGCATGGAGGTTAGTGTGGGGTCACTGTATTTACCCACATTTTGGGGCAGGTTTTCTAGCCCGTGATGAGCTCCATGCAGCTCAGGTTACATTGTTGGAGGTACATGAGCTAGTTTTTTTTATACTAGCTTGGGTATGTTCATATGAGCTGCAACCTAGGAGTCTACTCATAGAGTTGTAGTTGGGATGATAACCTAAAATAAAATGCTTGTCTTCATGCCTGTTTTAATCTCAGTTAGCTAACAGAGGTAAACCCAGCCAAACGAAGAACACCTGTTACTCTTGTAGCCCAGACAGGTCCTAAGTCTTTCAATACTACTGGGCATATCTACACATGCCATTAGTGCAGAGCAATAAACTGTAGTGCTTATTGCTCTGCAGTTTATTGCTCCCAGGAAGTTCCTGGGCATGTGGTTTACGCATGCATCCAGACCTCAGCACATTGAACTGTGTTGGAGCAGCCTGAGCTGGCAGAGAGCCTGGGGGGGGGTGGTCAGCCCACCAGCCTGGGGCTGCTCCGACTGGGTTCAACATGCTGGGGAGGGGCTGGCTAGGGCAATAGGGTGTTTCAGCATGGGGGCTAGCCAGCAGGTGGCCCCAGCACAGAAGCATCCTCATGCATCAGCCAGCTCCTCCACTGCGCTGCTGCGCACAAAAAGCCATCTGCAACAGGACAGGACTTGTATTTACCTGTGGCTTTCAGAACCACTCTAACTAAAGCGCCCACCCTTGGAGCATGTGTAAAAACACCCCAAAACCTTTTGCCTCCAAATTGAAGCTCACTCTGCCAAATGTTTCCTGTACCTTTGAGATATTCTTTTGTTTTCAGCAACTTGTAAAACAAACAAGCAGGGAATCAAACTTGCTTTCATAATTTTTTCTAGGGGTGACTGATTCAGGGTTTTAGAAGATTGCCTTATAAATATGAAGCCAAGCAGAAAGTATGGACTGATGCCTAAATAATCTCAAATTTCAATGAAAATCTGGTTCAGATGTTTAATGTTATCAGATTATGTCTGGTTTAATATTATCAGAGGATCAACTACTGCAGTATTACTGGAGTTGTGTTGCTTTGTTGTGCTCAGAATAATCAAGCTCATTTCAGTACAATTTAATCCACTCCAGTAAGGAGAATTCTTCTCCTTGATTTCTGTACCAGCCTGTAGTTTGAATCTTAATTCTCAAGTTTTCATTCTTTCTTGTAAAAGGGATCATGAATATTCAAGGTTTAGTAAAACAGAATAAAAATTGTTTTTATATGGCACCTTTTGTACTTGAGGTACAGCAAAATGCTTTCCTTTACAGAATAAAATTATTCTGATTCTTTCAGTGCCAAGACAGAATGTGAGCAAATGGAGCAGGCATTATGTACTTGGAAATGATTGCCTTGAAATCAACCTGTACGTCACACAACACAAAAACAGCTTTCTTTTGGTGTTTGCTTGTATTCTTGAAGAAAAATGACTGTATAAAAAAAAAAAAGATAAAAAGCACATGCAGAAATGAAGACGTTTTGCAAAGTTAAGAAAACCATTTTTTTCTTAAAATCTCTTGATCCATTTACACTGTATGAAATACAAGACAAAACAGCTGTAAATTAATCAGTGCAAACATCCTCGGTTTATACATCTTGGGTAGGTATAGCTTAATATTATTTCCTTTGGGCCAGAGCCTCAGGCTCATGTAAGTTTTATACACATTCATGTACATAATAATTTATTCAATGATATGTGCATGCTCAATAATTTTATGCTTAGAGTTACAATAAAAGGCATATTTTGTGTGTGTCTATTGTTTGCAGATCAGGTATTAGTATATAATCTTAGTACCCCTGGTCTCTGCATGTCCATTCAGAGCATCTGATGAAGTAGACTGTAGCCTATGAAAGTTCTTACATCTCTGAATAAGGTAGTCTATAAGGTGCCACCCTGCCCTGCCTTCTGCCTCAGTTATTTGGGGAAACCTCACAGGAAGAGTCATGCACACCATACACCCTTCACTAAAACCATCCTGCAATTATCAGCAAATTGGGTGCTTGCATTTAATCCTTGTTTTAGACATGAAGAGCAATACATTCAACTAGCAATTCCTGATGATGAACAAGGAGGGAAAAAGACTGAAGGAAGCTTGGTTGATTCAGATCCAGAAAGGGCTGATAAGCAACTGTTCTACATGTCCACAGGAGACAAGACAAGATATAATGGCTTTAAACTGCAATTAGGGAGATTTAGGCTGACTGTTAGGAAGAACTTTCTAACTATGAAGATGGTCAAGAACTGGAAAAGATTCCCTAGGGAGGTTGGCACCTCCATCATTGGAAAATTTTAAGTGTAAATGAGACAAACATTGCTGGTTTACACATCAGCAATCCTGTCTGGAGCAGGGAAGAGGCTTAGATGATCTCCGGAGTCCTATTTCTCCATGATGTATTCTCTATATTTTGATATGTTCTATGTCCACAGCTCACGGTGCTGACTACAGGGCTGCACATGACCTTGCCTTTCAGCCCATGCATCTTTGAGATTATGCACCGTGTCATGGCGGGGTCCGTCAGGAGGGCCGTGATCTCCTTGAGGTCCCTCGCTCCCTGTCAAGGCCGGCCCAAGACACCCTCTTATTCTCACCCGCCAGAT